GGGGGGGGACTCGCCGTCCTGACTGATGTCGCTGCACAGAATGTCTGTTTTAGTTTGAGTTTTTTTAATTTTTTTCTTCTTCTTTTCGGTATTTGTTGTTTTTTTTTGTGTTTTTTTGTGTCCTTGAGTGGAACTAGAGCTCGGCTCCGCCCTCTTTTATGATGCGATGCTACTGCCACGAGGAACGTGTTTCTCTGTGCCAAACAGATGACGTTTTCAGTAGAAAGGCCACGCTACGATGGCCGCTAGTGAAAGCTTTGCGAATCCTCCGATGTTGTTTAACGTGACGCGTTTTTCCCTGTTTAAGGGACGGGAGTGCTTTGACTTGAAAATTTAAGAGAGAAATATTTAGAGAAGTATATATTATTTTTGTTTGATTGGTTATTTAATTACATCCTCTGCATGATGAAAATGTATTTTTCCTTCTATTTAAAAAAAAAAAACAGATTTCATCTGTCTGCTCTGTTGTGCATTATCAAATGTTCTGAAAATGGTACATGAGATTTAAGAGTACTGTTTTTATATTTTTTTATAGGTTTTAATTTGTGCATCTGTCTTTTTTTTTTGTTGTCATGGTTGTGTTTTATTTTTCATTTGTAAAACTTTAAACTGTGATATGTGCAGAATCAAATGAAAACCTGGAGTCTGTACTGTAAATGAGCAGTATGTTGTGGCCGGAGACATTAAAAGGAGAACTCTTGTTTTCTACAGACGTCTGCCAAATCGGATTGTTGTGTCCTCACTTCTGACCGCCCGGGAGGGAGTGTCCACACGTGAATGGTTAAAAAGGATTCTGGTTTTGGGCCACACTAGGAGATATTTCAGATCAGTTCCCCTGGTAAAACCAACACCGTCTGTTACTGGTCTCTGAAATTAGAACGGTTTTAGGTGCGATTCTTGGAGAGAACGAATGCGTTCACCTTTTTTTTAAAGGGGCCTCGATGAGCACAAGCCGATAACCACACTCCCGTTGGTGAACGTGCCACCATGAGCTGTGAAAATCAACAGCAGGCCGTAAAAAAACACCAACCGACTTCTCTAAAAGCCCCTTTTTCAACTAAGCAGTAGTTTTAAATATCTAAAAGCAAATCACATGTCAGAATAGTTTTTAAAAACTTCTAAATTGCGGCTTAGTTATGATACGACAGATATTTTGACCTCTTTAGATTCGAGTGAATGTTTATTACACGGGGTAAAATTAAATCTATACATGCAAAAAAAGCTACATTGCTTTATCATCAATTGGTTTAATTTGATGGAGCTCAGAGATGGAGATCCAGTGGCAGATGTTAAAGGTCTGGAGGGTGGTTTTTACATCTGGAATCTAATAGTAAAGCAGCCAAAGGTCGTCTCAGCTCCTCAGAATGAAAACTTTCATCCGAAAAGTGGGAGCCCCAATTGGATTTGGGGAAATGGAAAGTTTGGTCTATTCAGAATTTTTGCACATCTATGAAGACGCCACAAAATGTAAATTATTCAGAAAGCCTTGAAACAAAAGAAAGAAGCAGACAGGCGACATGTTTCAGTCCACAGAGACACAAAGTTGATTTAATGTTCGGCCACAGATCAGACTGAGGGTTTTATCACCCACAACAAATCAGTCAAACTGCTTTATGTCCACAGAGGAAAAACAAACAACTTAAGGTAGAGAGGAAGAAATCCGTTTGTGGTTATGTAAATGGCATTTTGTTCAGGCAAATAAAATTAGTATTCAATAAATGCTTTTGTCCATTTGACCATCTGCATATGAGCTCCATGAGAAAGAACAATTCCCCTCCATCCTCTAACCAGAAATAACAGGATGAAACTTCCATTTCGTCACCTTTGAGGAATTCTGGCAGCTTGTTTTCTGTATTTATGCAAAAGGCTCCTTAAACATTGTCTGGGGAAGATTCATCTTTAATGTTCAGGCATGAAAGAGTCAACTACAGGGATGATTCTTCCTAAAATAAATCAGCTGCTGGGTTTTTTTCCCTTCAAACAGTGAAACGACGTAAAATATGACCAGAAATAAGAAAATCAAAGCTTTGTAAATGTCTATTTGCTCATTAAAAACATTAATTTCCCTGCCGTTTACCCACTCAACGCTCTTTTTTATTCATCCCATCCTCTTTTTGCCTTTGTGTCCACTCTGAGTGTCATATTTTTAAGATTGGGAAGAAAAAAATAAAGCTTTTAGGGATCCATTGTGCCTGTCCTTTTACAATTTTTCTCCTTTTACATTCAATGATCCGGGAGGCTTTGTCCTTGCGTTTTGTTTTTCTCCGCTGTAACTTTTGGTCTCGTCCTCCCCCCTGGCATTAGCCGTGCTCTGGGAGGAAGAGGAAGAGGAAGAGGAGGAGGAGGAGGAGGAGGAAGAGGCCACTCCTGCGTTTCCACTGCAGCGCGGGGGTCAGAGGGAGACAACTGGGTGTGTCCTCTGCAGCATCTCTGCTCATGGAAGAGGATAGAAACCAGTCGGGGGGGGGGGGGGGAGTGAGAGAGAGAGAGAGGAAGTGAAGTGGATTGATCTTGGGTGGGGTTCCAAGATGTTGAAGGAGAAAAAAAAAAGAAAAAAAAAGAAAGAAAAAGCCTCTTTAGAGGAGTGGATGCAGCTCAGATGTGGGGGAGCTGTAGTTAATCCAACACCAACCTTTTTCCTGTCAGGGATGTTAAGATTAGCCCCCAAAAAACCCAACAACCAACAGTTAATGTAAAAAAAAAAAGCATGTGATCCCTGAAAACTGCTCTATTCGGGCCACCTTCGCCCCTCTGATACCAGAAACAGTCCAAACAAGGCAGGAGACTCTTTAACTCACGAGTTAGCTTAATTTTTGTTTAAATTTGTAGAAAACATGGGGATGTGGAGCTTTAACTCCGCCCCCCCCCCCCCGGAGGCAAAGAGCTGTGAGTTGTGGAGCAACAGCAGACTGAAAGAGAGCAAAACCGGGTTTTCTTGGTGTTTCTTTTTACCTTTCGTGAGTCTCTTTCTCGTCACTATTCATGCTAGTGAGGCAAATGGCCGGGTGCGTGCTCAGTTAGATGGTTTTGGTTTAAAGTGAGTCCATCTGCTCCCAGGCCCAGGAAAGATGGAGCAAACGAGGAATCTAGAAGTGTTATATAAAAGCATATTAAAGGAAGTCTTCCAAAGGAAACCCTTATCTCCAGTAGTTCATCGTGCTTCAGTATTTGGGCTGTTTTTCTTCGGTTCAGTTTCTGGTCCTAGGAGTGACGTGTTGGTCTTCTTTTAACTGAGTTTGTAACAGTGGAGCTCTCAATAAGGACAAAAAATCAAGTGTTTTTCTTTTAACGTAAACGTTAAAGTTATTATTCAATGCCAGGAGGATAAAATTAAGATTTGTTATTGAGGTAAAGACACCAAGAGGCGGCGTGAAAGAGATGTGTTACACCTCAGATCTCAGTAGGGGATTTTTGTTGTTAAAAAAATGGGCAAACTTTTAATTTTGGTTGTTTTTTTTCACTGACACATTTGGGATTCTTCCATTGTTTCTGTGTGGGTCTGTCTGTAGTAACAGTAAGGTGTTTTCTTCATCATTGGTGGGGTTCACTTTGTTTGTTTTGAAAGATTAAAGACGTTTCAGATCTGTAAAACTGCAGCAAAGGCCAGGTCTTCCTCAGAATGCTCTTTATATGATCTCCCATTGTTGAGCTAACGGCTTCTGGCCCTTATAAAAACACGAATTACACCCAAGATGTTCATGACTTCCTCTTACTTTCTCTTTGACATCACGAGTATGTAAAAAGCCCTACTTCAAAATATTTGAATGTCTCTTCTCACAGTCATTTCCATCAAGAAAATAACAACTGCTAAAAAAGCACTGTCAGCAATCCACACTATTATTTAAAAAAGTGCATAAAGACAAAACACCACTTCAGTTCACGTCACATGGGGTTTTATTCTGTCCAAAATCCTCTTCAAACTCTTCAAACCCGACTGGAAATGAAAGTTTTTCTCTTTTGAAACCTGTTTGTGCAGCTTTATTCTCTCTTTATGAAAGCAGCTTTGCAATTCTAGGCATGCCCATAATTACAATGTCTCTGTTTTCCACATTACCAACGTTCGAACTCCAAATTGCCCATTGATCAATGTTAAATCTTAATTACAGTTGTAACATATGCATGAGCCTATTACCTTCCATGCCCATTTATGGGCTAACGTTATATAACCGTGTATGTTTCCTAATGAATGAACATCATCAAGTATGGACACTCTGAGATGGAGAGCTGGTTTTCGCTCCGCCGTATATTGATTAAAACAATACTCCAGCAGCTGTAATCACTGTATGTGCTTTTTGCATCTCAGAATTGACCACCTTGTAATTTCCCCTCTCCAGGCTCTGAGCCGGGATCACTTTTAGCCTTTATTTCACTACACATGGTGTCCATCTTTCAAAATAAAAGCATGATCGTGCTTTGTGATTGGTCTTACTACTCAATAAAGGCCCATCCCAGATGGTGGATGAAGCCCTTTGAAGAATAAGGAGTACTTTAGACTCAGAATATGCAGTATTTAGTGTAGTTGCACATAAGCCTGAGTGTGGTTTTGCCCCGTTGAAACCGTGAAACTCCAGGTTGTCACTCGGCATCTCACCCAGGGACGGTGCCAGGGGGGAAGTGAATTATGTTGTTCACACCTCACAGAACATCTTCTGCTCATAACCCCAGACCCTCCGAGGGCCTCGGGACAGTTGTCCATGCGGTTTAACTCTAACAACTTGGTGGTGGACTTTATGATGACCACAGATGTAACAGAGCAACAGCGAGCGTCCGTTTAGACTCAAGTTTGTTTGGGTTTTTCTATCCGACTCTCGACTTTTCTGGTGATTGCTGACATTTGAACTGAGGTGGCCCACTGTGAACTGGCACAACCGTCAGTTATTTCCAAGTAAAGCGTTTCTTCTTCTATTCCAGCGAAGAAGAAAAAAAGAAAAAGAAAAAAAAAACCCCGGCAGCCTGAGAACTGCCTTCTGTCCATAAACCACAAAAGCCCCTAACGCGTTGCTCATCTGTCTCTTGGGTGAGACAAGTTCACTTTTCTGAGAAAGACAACGGCTATTCGCTGAGACCACCCCTCCAACCACCTCTCCACAGGCAGATGCAGAGCCCCCCCCCCCCCCCCCCCTCCCTCCGAATCCCACTTCCTCTCACACGTTGCTTTAATCGGGGGGAGTCTTAGTTAATCAGCCGTGTCAAAACATCAACGGCTCATGGAGGATCACGTTTCGTGCCCAGGGTGCTGTAATCCGGGTCCGTTGAGCAGATAGGGACACGTTTTTGGGGCCGAGGTACAGTAGTACACGGCTTTATCAGGAACTAAGAGTCAGTGAAAGTATTGCCACACTTAAGTAAGAGAGTTCCTCTAAAACACCCTCAGAAAAAAGTGAAGGTTTGACACCAGGAGGGATTATTTAAAACGCTCGATCAACACCCACAGAAGAGGTCACTTTTAAATGTCTCAGTTTTCTTTCTGCAATGTGATGGAATGAAACAGGAGAAAAAAATCAGTTTTTTTTAGTCAAGCTTGAATGTAAGGCATGTAATTGTAACAATAAAAATATATCAGAGCATTGAAAACAACTTAATCAAAAGGAAAAAGTTTATTCTGACACATGATAGCTCAGCTTTTGGACAAACAGAAGATGTTTTTGTATTTTCCTCATTTGTTTTGCACTTAACCAACACTACAGAATATTCCAAAGAATGTTTGTTTTTTCCTTTTTAAATAAGGTGACAAACTCAAGTTTGAGTAGATTCAGTTTTTAATTCTCTGAGCTTTGGAATCAGTCAGAAAGTTGTGGCTTTAATGTAAATTTTATTCATTTTAATGGTTTCATAAAATGATTTTCATAAAAATTTTCATAAAAATGTCTTCATATAAGTTTACCCACTGGTCATCGGCATTTTCTGTTTTTCTGTCCACGTCTGCTCAGAGGAGATCTGATTCTGATCACAGCTTTACTCCGAGCTGATTTCAGCCGTTTTTAGACGGGCTGCTGTAAGATTTAAGTCAAGTATTTAAAATCCTTAGAGGATGACTTCAGTGATATTTAATTTTTACATAAAAACAAATACATGAAAGAGGAATTAAGCTGAAATCAGCTATGTTCCATCCATTTATGTGTGAGTGTGAGGATTTCAGTGCATTAGACGTTCTCAACAGCATGCATTCAGAGTCTAATTACATTTAATCTATTTAAAGGCTGCGTTTATTCATTCTGTCCACGCATTCTGTTAAAGATATCATTTAGAGGGTGGTTTTTAGTTGATGCTGGTAGAAATGGTGCGCCTTGTTGGGCCCATTTTGTGGGCCACCCAACTCTTTAAGATAAACCAAAAATCAGAAAAGTCTTCTTCACGTATTTTTTCCTTTGACCATTCCTCTTCGAATACATGATATGTACTCATTTTCCTTTTTATTTGTGTTGACTGTAAAATGCATCATTCAGAAAAAAGTAAGGCTTTAGTCCATTAAAAGAAACCAGTTTCAGTCCAAGAGGAAACCTAATGAATATTTCATATAGTTGCAGCTCATCATTTTCCAACTGTGCTAATATTTTGGATTTCTTCTCTGATTTTGACAAATGTTTTCCCGGTTTTTATTGGCCAGCCACAACAAACACGCTGCGATTAAAAATGAACAATAACCTCGTGGCGTTTTCATTTTCAGGAGAGGAAGTAGGCCTTTTTTTTTTTTTACAGTTCATACAAAACTTCCACACTCATGTTTTCCTCCAGTTGAAGTTTTGATACACCCTGCAATATTACACGCAATTTCCTCAGACGGACGTCCGGCGGGGAGTGGACGGTTTTCTGTCTCCGCCGGGTCGTAAATCAGGACCCGTGAGTGATGGAGGTCTGATGACTGTGCGACTGTGGTCAGCGTTTCCACCACTGAGCTCCGTCCCCAGCCATCCTGCCACTGGAACATCTGGCAGGTGTGTGAAATCTGAGGGGAAGTCGATGTGTTCATCACTCAGATGCTCCGAACTTATCAGTGCTACTCTCAAAAGACATTTAGTTGAGTTTAAAAAGACCGGAGGGATTGGTGGATAGCACCTCTGAAGTTCATAGATAAATATTAACCATTTCTAGCTGCATTAAGAGGTCTAAGTTTTCAATTTAGTAAACATTTCAGTTTTTCGAAGATATACTGTAGTAATAAACCCCCTGATACACACTGTGGCATCTTGACTCAGTTTGTCAGTTGGTTGGTTAGAATTTAATAGAACAATTTAATCTAAAACAAAACAAATATTTAACATTTATGGTGTCCAGGAAGAGTAGCAGAAACAAAAACACACTGCTATTATTTCAATAATAATAAAAAAAATATTGTTTTCTTGAGTTAATTGCTTTTAATTGGAATGGTTTCCATAGTCTACACACACACACGTATATAGATAGATAGATAGATAGATAGATAGATAGATAGATAGATAGATAGATAGATAGATAGATAGATAGATAGATAGATAGATAGATAGATAGATAGATAGATAGATAGATA